TTTTTTTTTTTAAAGCCTAAGCACAGGCTAGATTAAAAAAGACATAAAGCAAAATGCCATGTGTGGTCCTAGATTGAATACTGTTTAGACAACCCAACATAAAAGACATTTTGGAAACAAAAGGGAAATTTCAAATATGATCTAGGTAATCTATGAAAAYGTATCAAATAGATAGGGATTCCTAACTGAAAAAGAAACTGGCCATAAAACAGTATATGCAAAACAGTTTTAGTATTAAAATATGTATACATGTAAGCACATGTATACTGAAGGAAATATCCACAATAATACACATTAAGGTATTTATAGTAGTGGTAGTTGGTAGTGAGATTATGGTTTTATCTTCACTTTTGTTTGTATTTTTACATTATTTACAAGGCATATTTGTCACAACTGTTTTTTGTGGGGGTGGGAGGGTATTGGGGATTGAACTCAGGGACACTCAACAACTGAGCCACATCCCCAGCCCTATTTTGTATTTTATTTAGAGACAGGGTCTCACTGAGTTGTTTAGCGCCTCACTATTACTGAGGCTGGCTGTGAACTCGTGATCCTCCAGCTTCAGCCTCCCAAGCCGCTGGGATTACAGGCATGTGCCACTGCGCCCAGATTGTCACAACATTTTTAACCAACAAAAGATGTAATCAGATATGAAGTTACAGCCTATGGATCAAATCTTGCCTATCATTTGTATTTTTGTATAACCCACAAGTTAAGAGTTTTACAATTTAACTTTTTAAATTTTATTTTCCTTAATGTATATATTATATATGAGGGGAGAACTGGGGATTGAACCCAGGTGCACTATACCATGTTTTGTCCCCAGTGTTTTTTATCTCAAGACAGGGTCTCATTAAATTGCTGAGGTTGACCTTGAACTTCTAGGCCACCCACCTCAGCCTGAGTCCCTAGGATTACAAGCAACCACACCAGGTTGCTTTTCACACTTTTGGATGGTTAAAAGAACCAACAGAATATGGGTGCAAATTAAAATAAAAATAAAGTTTAATTAAAATTAAAATGGTTGGAGACATAGCTCAGTAGTAGAGTGCCCCTGGGTTCAATCCCAGTACTGCCAAAAAAAAAAAAAAAGAAAAAGAAAAAGGGAAAAAAAACACATCTCACTATCTGACCCTTTTCAGAAAAAGTTTGCTAATCCCTGAAATAGCATAAAAACATTAAGACCTCAGTAGATTCATTACATCTAAAAAAAGAACTAGATTTACCACAGAACTAATTAGAAAAATGCAATAAAAAAAACAAATACCTTTTCTTACCTAGCAGATTGATAAAAGATATTGACAAGAGAGAGCTCTCATATCCTGATACACTGGTACAACCACATGGTATAACTTTTGGCAGCATCTAGCACAGCAAGGCTATGCACATCCTGTGACTCAGTAATCCCACTTGTAGGTTTACATCTCTCRAAAAGTCACTCACAAAAAAGACATTTATAAAGTGTACATTTCAACAATGCCTCGAAGAGATGCCATATGTAAACAACTTAGAATAGTGTCCGAGATGTCACTACATACGCTCAACAAATGCTAGGGATTATTATTTTATTAACTGAAAAATCAATTCATACTATTGAATGGATCCATAAATTATTAGTCATATGACTTAATATACAYAGCAGTAAAAATAAATTTATTTATTCTGTATGAATCTCAATGGACAAATCTCAAAACTGTAGTATTGGTTGGTAAAAGCAAATTTTACAAACATAAAATGACAATATATATTGGGTTTTAATATATAAAGATGTAGAAAACATAAAAACAGGAAAGTCACATAACTGCTGACTAGTAATTAATTCTGAAGAGTAAAGAAGGCTAATGGAGATAGCTCTTAAATTTTTTAAATATTTCTATAAAGGTTAATGGATATAGCTCTTAAAATTTTTAAATATTTTGTTTCCTAAAAAAAAGGTATGAAGCTGGGCATGGTGGCACACAGCTGTAATGCCACAGTGCAAGGCAAGAAGAACACAAGTTTGAAGCCAACCCTGGCAACTCAGCAAGACCCTGTTTCAAAACAACATATAAAAAATGCTGGGGATGTACGTAGCTCAGGAAGAAAGCTACATCCCCAAACAAAAACAATATGGGGCAAGTATCACATGATAGTAAACATTTGAAAATTAGGATGGAGTGTGCATGAGTGTTTGTTATAATGCTTTATTTTTCTGAATGTCTGAACATTTCATAACTTATAAAATTTTACAAAAAGGAAAACAGAATAAAAATATATCGTACTGTCAGGGCACTGAGTAGGTGCCAAGCACCATTCCAAGTGCTTTATTTATATTAATACCTTTAGTCCTCATAATAACCCCCAAAAGATAGGTGATATTATAATCCCAATTTTATGGGCAAACTAAGACTCAAGAAAATAAAGCAACTTCCCCAAAGTTGCAAAGAAATAGTATGGTTCCAGAATTTGTGCTATGCACACTGCCTCTCTATACTTTCTACTAGAAAACCAAAAAGGAATAACCTTCAAATGTCATTCAACAAAATGATTAAGGCTAAAACAAACAATATGCCTACAAGAGAAAAATCACATTTTCTTCAGTTCAATCCCCAGCAAGGAAAAAAAAATCACATTTTCTTTCCACCTATTACCCAATTCAGATAAAGTAAATTATATGTGTTTTGGGAATTTAAAAATTTAGCTAGCGTTATATGTTATTTCAGAAGCTACAGAATCTTCTCCCTTTCCCCCTACATAATTTACATATACCTTAAGCAACTTACCTAGCATTCTTTTCAGCATCTAAAAGAGCTTGTGCTAAATCTTTGTGGGCTTTCTCTGCTTCCTCTGTTAATTTAATATCCTGTGCCCGAACCAGACACAGTTCCCTGTCAAAATAAAGCAAAAAAAAATTCAAAATCACAGTTGGAAACTTCCACAAAGTTTCTACCCAGGAAATCAGGTATTTTCTTCTTGGTTATTGTGTGTATTGCCCTAGTTTTTCCATCCCATAACATCAAGAAATCTTCAGTTTAATGCTTTTCCAGCTGAGCTCTCTCATCTACTTGCAAATCAAGAAATCTAGTATGCATTCTGGATGGAATCTTGTGAGGTTTAGCAACTGACTCACATTGGCAGGAAAAGGCAGAAAGAAGATATAATGGGGTATCCCCTAAAGTAAAGTGGAGACAGATGCTGATGGACAAGGCCACCACTCTGCKCTACCCCACTCTCTGATCTGCCTATACTGTCCTCTTTATTCTTTCCACTAGTCATCTTGTTACCAGGTTAGATAATCACAAATCTTGATTGCTATATATTATTTATTCTCTTTAAAATTTGAACCTTAACATCCATAGTTATGGTAATGCTCTGTAAATCTGATTAAGATAAATATCTGTATCTTGGAAGAGAGAGCAAGAGTCTCTTCCCTATCAAATATGCGTAGATCTTAAGTTCTGCATTAACCTGTGTGACTCATTTCTCTTCACTTACCCCTATTGCAATATCCAGTTCTTTCCATTTGCTGGCTAAACATGAAAGAAGACAAGAGTTTCCACCTTTATCCATTTATTCTCCATCAATATTTTTTACTCTTTAGACAAATGGCTCTGGACTTTTTTGTGTGTGTTTAGGATAATCACACTTTTTACCTGGTCAGTTCTTCAATAACATTCTTGAAATTATACAATTCTTCTAAAATGCGCTGGTCCATCATTCGCTGAGCTACCAAGTCTTTGTAGAAGTCAATCATCTCCTGGGCAATCTGGTCAAGCATTTGCACATACCTCTCTCTGAATGAGAAACAAGGAGAACACAATATCATGCAAAAGCAAAATGCAAACTTCCCTTTCAAAGTGGCAGAAGCCCACAGTGGCTCCAAAAATCCTGAAATGGCTCAAAGAAGCTAAAGAATGAGGAAAAGGAAGGGTGAGGCCCAGCATACACTTAGCAGGGATCAGAATTCAGGACCCATAGAGTCCAAGAGTTCATTTCTCATTTTTCACCCAATGATGGTAAAAAGCAGCCAGTGCTGGCCCAAAGTGGAAGAGGACTGGGTGTCGGTAGAGGGGGGAAAATCACAAAAGGAAAGAAAAAGGGAGCCAGAAAATGTATGACAGAAAAAGTAAAGAAAAGAAATAATAAACAGACATTCATAAAACATATGTGGGAAGAACAACAGGGAAAGAAAGGAATCTTGGCTGTGTTTTCCCGCCATGTTCATACAAGTGAATGAATAATTGTGGAAAATTATAACCAGAGCCATAATTATTCGGAATATGATAACTGAAATGTAAAATAAAAATAAGGACCTGTTTTTATTTCTTTTTCCAGATTATAAATGCTGTGGGGAAAGGAACTATCTCTTATATTTTTTATATTAGGATTGTTTGTTTGTTTTCATTTTCCATCCCTAGAGATTTGTATTCATTTTGCAAGCCCAGTAATGCTTTGTGAAGTTTGCGCCTATGGATAAAATTGTGTAAACAGTAGGGATTCTAGTGGTATTGGAATGGGAAGGACCTTCAGAGTGTCTAGTCCCTATATTACCAGGAGCAAATTTCCCTTTCAAACAGAGTACCTGATTTATGGAACCTGGTTTTCTGCTGACAGTGCTGAGAAACTCATCCACAGAGTTCCTTGAATTTAGTGAGTTTTTTTAATAAGTAATCAAATTCATAAATAACAACACTTTCCTCAAACTAACTAAATGTAAAAATACACCTGTTTAAAAATAAACAAAGAACTTTAATTCAAAGAAGTCTTTTTTTCTTTTCTTTTTCTTTTTGTTTTTGCTTCTAAATAAAACCAAATGAGATATCTGGAAATCACCTTAGATGATAAAGTATAAATACTATAACTTACTTCTACTGATAGTAAAAGTGATCTAGGTATTATATCCTAAGCATGAAGTCTGATAACTATAATATCTTTTAATTGAACTGGTCATTTAGACTAATCTCTCACCCACTGAAAGAAAGGATTATCTAGCCCTTATTTAAACACTTAAAGTAACAGGAAACTCATAAGTTCAATATAGAGCTCAAACATTGGAAAGTATCAATTTTAGGACTTCTGCTCCTGGTAATATAGGGACTAGACACTCTGAAGGTCCTTCCCATTCCAATACCACTAGATCCCCCCCACTGTTACACCATTATATCCATAGGCGCATACTTTACAAAGCATTACTGGGCCTGCCAAAAGAATACAAATCTCCAGGGATGGAAAATGAAAAGAACAAACAAGAAACGAGTGGTATGGGAGATAGTTGTGTTTCAGTAAGCAAACCCAGGATCAAAGTTGCCCCAGGAAGAATATCAACATTGGGATGCAGAGATAGGTCTCGGGCCCACTTCAAAATGGGAGACCAGGGCAAGGACAGGACTGCCACAGGAAGCCTGTGTCCCAGAGGGAGCAAATACAGATTCTCTTTTCAGAAAGGAATCCCTGACTTATGCCCTGAGGTTTCCACAGTTAAGATCTTCCCAGTATGAGCTTCACAATGAAGAATACTAATGTTAATAAATCATCATGAAAATGACAGAAAGCTGACCAACGCTGTTTACACACAGTAAGTTGTGTAGTTCTTTGCCCTGCTGCTTCTACCACTCTTGGCTTGTTTCTTAGATTGACAACTCAGACCTTAGTTGTCCCTATCCTCATTCTCATTTGGCACTTTGGGTTTTCCACGGTATTCTAACTACTTTATTGTATCTAATCTTAATGGCTTTCCTCTGAGTTTCTCAGTACTGTCAGATAGCAGAAAATCAGCTTCCATAAATCAGACAGTGAGCAGATTTATACCTCATTTAGAAGAAACCAATATTCAGAGAGATCTAATAATTTTCCTCTTGCCCCAGAGCAAGTCAATATAGATATATATTATTCTTTCAACTTTTTGGAAAGTTCTACAGTTATAAGAATTATAGTAACAATAGTATTTGTCATCCTTGTTGCTAATAATTATATTTATTCAGGACCTACTTCAGCATCCTCATTTAAAAAACCTCACTGCATTCCTATGAAGTCTCTCAATACTTGGTACAGCATAGGYACTCAATAAAAATTGTTGGCTTATGAATGAATTGATAGAAAAAATGAAAACTTTCACAGTAGCTATTATTTTCACTTACAAATGAGAAAACTAAGGCTCACACGTTTAACAAGATTTCACACCAACATGAAGAGTTAACTACAGAAAACATAATAAGGGGCTGGGATTGTGGCTCAGGGGTACAGTGCTTGCCTAGCATGTGCAAGGCCCTGGGTTCAATCCTCAGCACCACATAAAAATAAATAAATTAAATAAAGATATTGTATCCAAACAAAAAATAAGTGATTCTGCAATCTGCATTTGGGGTAAAATTGGGAGTTCATAACCCACTTCAATCTAATGTATGAAATATGATATGTCAAGAGCTTTGTAATGTTGTGAACAACCAATAAAAAAAATAAATAAATAACTAAATAAATAAAAGCATAAAAAATAAAAAATAAAATAAAATAAAATAAAGATATGTGTCTAACTACAACTAAAAATAAATATTTTTTAAAAAAGAAAATATAATAAAATGCAACTAGGTTCCTCATTATCAGTCCAATGGAGAAGTGTTTTTGTGGCTTTCTCAAAAGTAGATATAAACATAATTCTAATATGAAATCCAAAAGTTGGAACATTCCAATAATAGCTCTAACCTGATTTTGGACAGCAGTTCTCCTCTATCTGCACAGTCCACACTGACCTGCCGAATAAGTTCATGAAAGACTGTATTGTAAATTGTCTGCTCCTTCTTCAAAATATGTAGTAGCTGGTGCATCTGGCAGAAAATAAGCAAATTAATCAGCATTATCACAGTCTTACCAGAAAAAAAAAAAAAACATTTTAGGAGGTAAGTACTCTAAACATGAACAAATTTTAGTAACTCCTTGATTGACATGTTCATACACATTTACAAAAATGATGATTTTTAAAAACCTCTCTAATTGTGCATCTATTTGTGGTGCATAGAGGTCATCACAATATTACTTTTATGTGATACCTGCTAAAAATACAAAACATGGGGCTGGGGATGTGGCTCAAGCGGTAGCGCGCTCGCCTGGCATGCGTGCGGCCCGGGTTCGATCCTCAGCACCACATACAAACAAAGATGTTGTGTCCGCCAAAAACTAAAAAATAAATAAAAAAAAAAAATACAAAACATGAATCTAATCATGAGCGTATACATCAGACAAATCACAACTGAGAAACATTCTATAAGTTATTCTGTAGAATAAAGAAGCCTGTGCTCTTCAAAACCAAGGTCAATAAATACAAAGAAAGGCTGAAGAATTGTTTCAAATTAAAGTTGTCTAAAAAGAGGCTGAGGTTGTGGCTCAGTGATAGAGCACTTTCCTAGCATATGTGAGGCACTGGGTTCAATTCTCAGCACCACATATAAGTTAACAAATAAATAAATGTCCATTAACAACTAAAAAAAAAAGTTGTCTATAAAGGAATATGACAACAAAAAGCACTGTGTGGTCCTGGGATGTTAGACTAGGAGGGAAAGGTAGCTATAAAAGACATCATAGGGATTGGGTGTGGTGGCACACACCTAAATTCCCAGTGGTCAAGAGGCTGAGACAGGAGGATTGTGAGTTCAAAGCCAACTTCAGCAACGTAGTGAAGCCCTAAGCAACTTAGCAAGACCCTGTCTCTAAATAAAATATAAGAAAGGGCTCCAGATATGGCTCAGAGGTTAAGCACCCCTGAGTTCAATCCCCAGTACCCCAAAAAAAGCCATTATAAGGACAATTGATTAAATATAAAATTTGAGCATGAACATCAGATAATTCTATAATATCTATGTTAAATTTCCTCATTTTTTTGTTTTTTGGGTTTAAGTTCCTTTTTTATTTGTCCTAATTAGGTATACATGACAGTAGAATGCATTTTAATACATCGTAAATGGAGCATAACTTCTCATTTGTCTGGTTGTACATGATGCAGAGTTACACAGGTCATATAATCATATATGCACATAGGTAATAATGTCTGATTCATTCTACTATGCTTTCTACCCTCATACCTTCTCTCCCCTTCCTTCATTCCCCTATGTCTAATTCAAAGTACTTCTATTCTTCCCTAGACCCCCACATTGTGAATTAGCATCTGCATATCAGAGAAAACATTCAGCCTTTGGTTCTTTGGGATTGGCTTATTTTGCTTAGCATAATATTCTCTAGTTCCATCCATTTATCAGCAAATGCCATAATTTAATTCTTCTTTAAGGCTGAGTAATATTTCATTGTGTGTATATATACCACAGTTTCTTTATCCATTCATCTGTTGAAGGTTACTTAGGTTGGTTCCATAGCTTAGCTATTGCAAATTGAGCTGCTATATAAACATTGATATGGCTGTGTCACTGAGTATGCTCATTTTAAGTCCTTTGGGTTAAATTTCTTGATTTTAATAACTAGATTATGGATATTTAAGAGAATATTCTTGTTAGTAGGAGTAAACACTGACATATTTAATGGTAAAGAGGTTTGATATCTCCAACTTACTCTAAAATGGTCAAGGAAAAAAACTGCATATATAGAGGAGAGAGAATGATAAAGCAAATAAGGTACAATGCAAACAACTGGATGGAGAATCTGGGTGCTATGCTTTCAATGTCCCCTTCAAGATTCATGTTAAAGTATAACTGCCATTGTGATAATTAAAAATGGGGTCTGTAGGCAGTGATTGGATTAATGCTATTGAGGAAGTGAGGTAGTTATCACAGGAATGGGCTCCTGATAAAAGAATGAATCCAATCGATTTCTTCTCTCTCTCTCTCTCTCTCTCTCTCTCTCTCTCTCTCTCTCTCTCTCTCTCCTGTGAGATCACTTGCCCCTCTACCTTCTACTATGGAATGACACTGCATGAAGACTCTCACCAGATGCTGGTGCCATGTTCTTAGACTTGCCAGCCTCCAGAACTATGAGTCAAATAATCCACTAATGTTTATAAATCATCCAGATTGTGGTACTCTGTGATAACAGCAGAAAACAGACGAAGATGCCAGGTAAAGGCCACATCAGAGTGCCTTGTTTCAAATTCTATGCAAGTAAAAATGTATAAAACAGAAAAGAAATAGCCCAAAAAGTCTATATCTAAGACTGAGAGAGTTCTTTCATTAAATACAAATAAAAGTGACAAGTGGTAAAAACATATGTTTAATGGAACATAAAATAATGAGAGTCTTAAAAATAACAAATGCTGAGGAAATGCCAAGGGAGAATGAAAGGGGAACTCAGCCAAGATATGAAATCAAACTAAGTGTTCATCATGACTGAAAAGATAATATTGTATACATACACAATTGAAAATTACTCATTCATTAAAAAGAATGAAATTCTTGCAGTTAGAAGAAATGACTTCTAGAGCACAGTAGAGTTAACTATGATTGACAATTAATGCATATATCAAAATAGCCAGTAGAGAGGATATTAAATTTTCTCAGAAAAAGAAATTATAAATGTTGGAGGTGCTGATCTGATCATTGCACATTTTATACATATTTTGAAATATCACATTGCACCTACCCAATAAATATACATAATCATTATGCCAATTAAAAGTAAAAATGAATAACTAACAAAGGTCTTAAAATCACTGATGCATTATGTTCAATGAAGTACAATAATAATAATACAGCCATGTTTTTGTTGCATAACAACATTTCCGTCAACAGCAAACCACATATATGAGGATGATCCCTAATGGAGCTGAAAAATTCCTCTCACCTTTTAATTTTAATTAATTTTCACTGCCCTTTTCTGTAATTAAATACATAAATACTAACCATAGTGTTGCAACTGCCCATGGTATTCAGTACAGTAACTTGCAGTAGTAATAGGATATGCCATATATCCTAGATGTGTAGTAGTCTAGGTTGTGTATACAGATTTTTGTAAGTATACACTATGATACTGACACAGTGACAAAATTGCCTAACAATGTATTTCTCAGAGTATATCCCCATTATTAAGCAATATATAACTATACTAAAAAATAATTATATAGTGTTTACTATGTGCAAGTACTTTATAGTTATTATTTCATTTCATCTCACATTAACCCCCATGAGGTAGATACTATTATTAACTATGATTTACAAGTTAGGAAACTAAGGCAAAAGGACATTAAATGATTTGCCCAAGGTCACCCACTAATAAATGGCAGAGTCAGTATTCCAGCCCAGGCATTCTGCTTCCAGAGTACATGCTCTACTTCTGGGTTACACTGATCTTTACAATTACCTTGGTTGGTCCTCTATATTCCTCACTTTCTATACCAGCCCTCTCCAGCATAATATCCATCACATCATTCAGCTTGATCACTTCTACTCTTTTATTAGGTTTCCTAAAAGATTAAGGTGGTAGACTTATACAATTAGCATTACAAAAAGCCATCTCAAGTGACAAAAAGAATGTAAAACTTTTAATGAAAATGTATATATGATGTAATATTAATGGTGTTTTAAAGCATTAAACATACACCTGCTGATAGAGTAGGATATAAGTAATACAGTGAAAAATTAAAAATAAGAAAATTGCAAATAGCATGATCTTCTTTTTCTTAAAATAATTATCCCTTCAAAGATTCCATAGAACTATTGTGTAGGATGATTAACATCGGTTACCTCACAAGGTAGGAAAAGAAAAAGAACAAAGAAAGATAAACTAGCAAAATGGAGAAATACTAAAGATTAAATGTAGAATATAAAAGAATTTTACAGTACTTAAATAAAGTTGATAAATTAACAAATTGAAATATACAATTGGACATATAAAATTGTTTATATGACAGAATTATAAGCAATTATTGTTATAATATTTTACTTAATAAAATACCAATAAAAAGAAATATATGTGTATCTAATTATTCTAAAAATACTTAAGAAAATAAATTATACTCACATGGATGGGAAGAGTAACAGCCTGTTTTCACTATCTGTCAGGAGAGTAGTATATTTGCTACAATTTTAAAAAATGAGTGAATGTTATTTTAAGAAAATATTTTGAGATGTAGCTCAGTGGTAGGGCATGAGCTTAGCATGCACAAGGCCCAGTACAGATAATACTCTGGCCTGTTTATCAATTAGCATACCTAATACCCAGAATCTTGGTTTCTAAGTATCGTTCTCTACTAAAAGAAATCAGAATAAATCACATGATAAAATTAAAACCTAATGGAGCCAGGTACAGTGGCACACACATGTAATTCCAGCTACTCTGAGGCTGAGTCAGGAGGATCCAGAGTTCAAGACTAACATGGGCAAATTAGCAACCTGTCTCAAAATAAAATATAAAAAAGAGCTGGAGCTTTAGTTCAGTGATAGAGCACCCCTGGGTTCTATCCCCAGTTCAAGAAAAATACTTCATGGAATTTAGAAGCTTGAAGGTGATGATAAAGGTCTGCCATTTGCAGACAAGATAATACCAAATATCTACAGACATCTACAAATTTAGATATAATGACATTTGTCATATTTGGAACATTTTAGTAAAGGAGATTTTATCACATTCCTTGATGTGTCAAAATTTGAAAATTTCAATTCAATAAAATTCAATAAAAGAAAAAAAAACATGTCTTTTTAGCTATTTCAAAGGTGAAAGGAGGGGCTGGGTTTTTAGCTCAGTGGTAAAGGGCTTAACTAACATGCGCAAAGGACCTGGGTTCAATCCTCAGCACCACAAAAGAAAAGAAAAAAGGTAGAAGGCTATCCTAAAAATATTGAAGTCAACAAATTTAACTTACTAAACAGGTTATAAACTGTTTAAGAAGCTATTATGAAACTAGAACCCATTTTTCCTGATGCCTGGATTAAAAAACATACATTTAAAGTATGTGTGTATATGTAAAAGCAAACAGAACAAAACATAAATACCCAATGAATCAGGATAAAGAGCATGTGGGATTTCCTTGTCCTACTTTTGTAATTTTTTTATCAGTTATCAGAATTATATAAAAAACAACAGAAAGTAACCCAAAAAATGTATTCCACATAGTTGTACTTTCAAAATACTGTTCTTATAAGGAAATGCCATGTTATTATATAATATATAAGATCCAAAGAGTGACATCCTCTGAATGTTTTATTAAAAAAACCATAGTCCAAAGTTCTAGTTTTTTAAACTATAAAACAATTAAATGTTGCTTCAGAAAATAAAAGCAAGATCTCATTGTCAATCAGACAAACAGGAATCAATGACTGGTCTGCAGTCTGGATCAAATCTCTGAGTGTGCATTATGAAATCYTGACTTTATTACTTTACTTTGTCTGCGTGGTCATTGATCATAACCATTCCTAAAGGACATGGTCAAGCATTCAGAACAAAAAAGCACTCAGAAAAAATCCCATTTTTATTTATTTTTATTGGTGCATTATAATTGTACATTGTAAGATTCATTATGCTATATTCATACATGCACATAATTTGATCAATCTCATTCCCCAAAACCTTCCCTTTCCCTTCCTTCCTCCTTCCCCTGATCCATCTATTCTACTCATCTCCTTTCTAGTATTTTTATTATTATTACTATTATTATTATTTCAATCAATATATAACTTTATATATATGTATACACACACACACACACACACACATGGGATTTACTATGGTCTAGTCATACACAGTGTGGTAGATTCATTCCCCAAAGTTCCATTTTTTAAAAAATTCAAAATTAAATGGCAGGAAAAGATAGAGAAGAGTTAATTACTAAAATACCAAACGTTTTTAAGTCTTTCTCATTAGTTGTGGCATCTTTCTTAAATTGCATTAAGGTGGCTAGCCCAAATATTTTCACACTACATGAACATGATGTACTGCTCTCAGGTTCTTCTGTGTGTGGGAAGGGGGAACAATGGTTGGGCACCTCAGATATTCAATACACAACATAGTACTCACTCGTCATAACACTCTAAACCTGAAACTCCTGTACTTGACACGATATGAAATTCTTCAGGAATCAAAGTATCTGTTAATGTCTTTGGCTGAAAAGAAAAGAAAATGAAGACCATCTAAATAGATGAAAAAAATTAAATTGCACAAATACCCCAAAGGTATACTATTTATTGAAATATTTTGACTAGAGAAATAACAATATTAGCAATGTGGGTCAATACAGATGACAAAAAAAAATTAAGCAGAGCACATGTTAAAAATAGCCATGAGTTAGAGAGCAACTTTAGTTCTAGTACAATCATCCCTTGATATGTGCAGGGGGTGGTCCAGGCCCCCATACAGATGGAAAAAAATTGTTATACTGAATGGTTTAGGGAATAATGACAAGAAAAGGACTTATATTCAGCACAAAGACAATATTTTTTCTAATATTTTCTATCTGTGGTTTGTTGTATATGCAGGTGGGGAATCCTCAAGCGTAGAGGGCCAACTGCATTTAGAAATTCATTAACTCTTTTTTTATTTGATTCAGTAGGAAGCTTAAAATTCAATTTAGCAACATACCAAGGATAAGAATTCTACAAAATTACATGTGGATTTCTGTTAGGGGAAAACCTAGTCTCCCATACTTTTCTAGATGAAAGCAGATAACTGTGGTTTGAAAAATGGCTTAAACATCTTTGATCTTTTCCCACTAACTACCCTTTTAAAGAAATAATTGGAAAGCTCTATGAAAACAAATATACAATGCAGTGGTATAGTGTCAGATTGCCTTATATTGGGGGGAAATTATTTTTAAAACAAAGGAGGAGAGATGACTTTTCAAATACTTTACCTTATGAGGCACCATGGCACCATCATGTGACTCTAATGAACGGTCCATACGTGGAGGACAAACTACATTCTCTCTAATCTCTCCTTTTACACGTTTTATGTCATACAGAAAAGAAATGTCCCTAAAAATGAGAAAATATAGAAAATACAGATATATAAAAATATATTTTAAAAAATAACTGTTCTTTCTAGCTAACTAAATACAGATGGTAAAGAGTTGTTATGCGGGGCTGGGGATGTGGCTCAGGCGGTGGCGCGCTCGCCTGGCATGCGTGCGGCCAGGGTTCGATCCTCAGCACCATATACAAACAAAGATGTTGGGTCTGCCGAAAACTAAAAAATAAATATTAAAATTCTCTCTCTCTCTCTCTCTCTTTAAAAAAAAAAGAGTTGTTATGCTAAATTGTTTAGGGAATGATGACAAGAAAAAGCCTTACATATTCAGTATAGACACATATCTTACCAGTGAGTAAAATGTCATTTATGTCAGGAAAAACTGATCTCCTTACCTCAAACTCTCTTGAGGCACTAGGTACAAGTTGCCATGCATTCTTCCTCTTTTCTATCTGATATTTCTCATTCTCATCATAAACTCTTTCTTTTCCTTCCATCTCAGGTTAAGATACTGTTTCTATGGTTATTCCTTCCACTTGTGTACCTTCATTACATCTTTGCCCATACCCTCACAGCTCCTGTTCCATCAATCATAATTTCTGTGTATTTCCTACAATTTTAGTCTTTTCTCTAAAAATCTTTTTCTTGACCAGACATTACCAGCTTGTGCATGACTGTTCTATATGGCTGACTGGCTATCTATCTATCCCTTGCTTTCTGTTAAATATCAAACTTCCTAAAATTTCCCTTCAATCTATTTCCTACCCAAACATCCCTCAAAACCATTCTCCAAAAAGCCAATGATACTTCCCACTGCCAAGTTAAATAATTTCTTATTAGTTATCTTCCACTACACTGTGGAATATTTTCTAGGACTGATCATCTCTGTTTAAAAACACTCTCCTCCTCAATTTCCTGTGGTACTAGATGCTCCTGGTTTATCCTTTCTACTTTCTTAGACTTCTTTGTGCTCTCCTGCTACTAAATGGAAGTACTCTACAAAGTTGCATCTTCATCCCTCTTACTCTTCTTTCCCCTACATTTTCTTCCTTGACAATATCATCAAATCTCACATTATCATAGATGTTACCCTGTAGGCATAACTAAATCGTTCTTCCGTTCCTTCTTTTCCCCCTCTAGTATTCACTGTCAATTTACACCACCACTCTCTTCACCAAAATCTCAACATCTATAATCAATCCCTTCCCATCCTTTGTACCTAATATCCAATCTACTGCTACCACTTATTAATTCTTTTTCCCCATGGTTTTATTGAGGTACAATAAAATGCATATATGAAGTACGCAATTTGATCAGCTTTTGCATGTATGTAACCAAAACAATCAATACAAAAAAGCATTTACATTACTTTTTCTAAAATTTGACATCATGCAGACTGTAATTCCTGCATGATTTATTACATCAGAAACCAATTATCTTAAGATATACAGAACCCCACCCCCATGCCAACTATTTCAAAATTAAATGGCACATTTATAAATATTTCTGAGGTCAAGGAATAAAGCACAAGGAAAGTAAATAAGAAGTGCTTTGAACAAAGTGATAATAAAAACTTAAAATACCAGGATCTCTGGGATTAAATAGTACTCAGATTAACATTTATAACTTAAAGTACTTGTATCAGAAAGAAGCTAGAATAACAATCAAGTTATTTTCAAATTAAGTAGTAGGAAGGAAAAATAAGAGTAGGAGCAGAAATATATGATCTAGAGAAGAAATAATACAGCTAAAATTTGATAAAAATCTAACAAGTCTAAAGAAAAAATAAGAACACACAATTTAATACCAATGGAAAGGGAGCTATCAAAATAATCCCACAGATGCCAAAAATATATTAAGGTAATTTTGCAATTGTATGCCAACACATGTGATAGCTTACATAACATGGTCTATATTAGAGAAGGATCCATGTGCTACTGAGAAGAAAGTGCATTCCATCATTAATGGATGAAATATTCTATATGTCTGTTAAATCTAAATTATTGATTGTATTATTTAGTTCTATAGTTTTGAAGTTTTTGTTTGGAAGATTCAGAGAGRTGAGTTAAAGTCACTCAGTATTATTGGATTGTGATCTATTTGATTCTTGCCCATTCAGAAGAGTTTGTTTGATGTACATAGATGCTTCATTGCTTGGGGCATAAATATTTGTGATTGTTATATCTTGTTGATGTATAATTCCCTTAAGCAGTATGGAATGTCCTACTTCATCCCTTCTGATTAACTTTAGCTTGAGGTCCACTTTATCTGATATGAGGCTAGAAACCCCTGCTTGTTTACATGATCCATGTGAGTGATCTGTTTTTTCCCATCCTTTCACCTTCAGTCTGTGGATATCTTTGCCTATGAGATGAGTCTCTTGGAGACAGCATATTGTTGGGTCTTGTTTTTGTTGTTTTTTAATATTTATTTTTTAGTTGGACACAATATCTTTATTTTAATTATTTTTTTTTATGTGGTGCTGAGGATCGAACCCAGGGACTCACAAATGTTAGGCGAGCGCTCTACTGTTGAGCCACAACCCTAGCCCTGGGCCTTGTTTTTTAATCCAATCAGCCAGTCTATGTCTTTTGATGAGTTTAGGCCATTAATGTTCAAGGTTATTACTGATATATGATTTGTTCCTGGTCATTTTGGTTTATTTCTAGTTTTTAATTTGAATTAGTTTCTCCTCTGATTGACTGTTCCTTTAGTGTAGTTCTTCCCTTCATTGGTTTTTACTTTTTTTTCCCATTTCATCTTCATGGAATATTTTGTTGAGAATATTCTGAAGTGCAGGCTTTCTGGTTGCAAATTATTTTTTAAAAATATTTTTAGTTGTAGATGGACACAATACCTTTAATTTGTTTATTTAGTTTTTTGGTGTTTTTTTTTTTTTTTAATTGTGGTGCTGGAGATTGAACCCAGTGCCTCAGGCATGCTAGGCAAGTGTACTATCACTGTGCCACAACACCAGCCCTGGTTGTGAATTCTTTTAACTTTTGTATGTCATAAAAGGTTTTATTTCATCTTCAAATGTGAAGCTTAATTTTGCTGGATATAGGATCTTTGGCTGGCATTCATTTTTTTTTCAGAGCTTGATTTATGTTATTCTAGGATCTCCTAGCTTTGTGGGTCTGGGTTAAGAAATCAGCTGAGATCCATATTGGTTTCCCCTATATGTAATCTGATATTTTTCTCTCACAGCCTTTAAATTCTAGCCTTATTCTGTATGCTAGGCGTTTTCATTATAAAGATGTGGGTCTGTTGTAATTCTGCACATTTGGGGTCCTGTAAGCCTCTTGTATTTGATTTTCCATTTCATTCTTTATATTTAAGAAATTATCTGTTATTATTTCATTGAAAAGATCATGCATTCCTTCGGTTTGTATCTCCATGCCTTTATCTGTTGGCTCTTTTTATATTTTCCCATAATTCTTATTAGTTCTGTTCATAGTTTCTTAACATCTTCTCTCYGTGGTCCACTTTATTTTCAAGATTACATATTTTGTCTTCATTGCCTAAGGTTCTGCCTTCCAAATGGTCTACTCTTTTGGCGATGCTTTCTATTGAATTTTTAATTTGGTCTATTATTTCCTTTATTTCAAGGATTTCTGTTTGTGTCCCCCCTCCCCAAATCTATCTCTTTATTGAAGTGATCTTTTGCTACATGTATTTGCTGTCTTACATCATCCTTTACTTTTCAGATCAGTTTAACTAAATGCAGTCCAAATTCCTCTGACATTTCTGTGGTGTTGATAGATTCTGTTATTGGAGTATCTTGGTTTTCTTGGAGTGATTTTTTTCCCTTGCTTTTTCATGCTGTTTGTGTGTCTACCCATGTAACAGTATGAATCTGAGGCAGCAGTTTCCACTGTGTATACTCATAGTGTCCCTGAAGGTTTCCAGTACCTCACTTGCTGAGAAGCTGCCTATTAGTTTTGTTTCACTCCACAGAGCAGCCAGGAATGTGAACTTCTCTATTCTGCCATCTACCACCACTTATTAATTCTATGGTCACCCTCCTCTTAATAGTGGTCCTCTTGTCTCTTGCCAATGCCAAATCACTAGTCAAAGTTGTCATTACTTTTTATGTTGATTCCTGGTGGGGTATAGTGGCACATACCAGCAACCTCAGCAGCTTGGGAGGCTAAAACAGAAGGATAACCTTATATCAGCCCTTTTGTTTTTGGTGTGGGGACTGAACCCAGGGCTTCRTGCATGTGAGACAAGCACTCCACAAACCGAGCTATATCCCCAGCCTCATAGCAGCTCTTTTAAAAAAATTTTATTTGAAAAAGGGCTTACCAAGTTACCCAGGAAGGTTTCAAACTTGGGATCCTCCTGCCTCAGTTTCCCAAGTMGCTGGAATTATGGATGTGTGCCACCATATCCTGCTAAACTCTCTTTGATTTGTTATGAAACCAATATTCTTGTAGTTAGCAACCATATTAGGAGATCAAACTTCACCAGTTATTCCAGAAGCTTCACACACCATCCTTCTCTATTGCCCTCACCTCTGAGAACGAGTGCTATCATTTCCTTGTGCTTTAATCACCCACTTAAAAGCAGGGAAAAGGAAAAAAACTCTATTAAGCTAGCAAAAAATAAGAAAAAAAGGATGCAAAGAGAAAATAGAGTAAGATGGCATAAATAAATCATAATGCATATGCTCGGGATAAATATCTATTCCAGGGTATTATACTAGTAGACCCAAAGCTCCTGTGGTGGTAGCTGCTTCCTGGTAGCTGCCTCCTGCTTCCCCTGTCCTGGGAGTTTTTTGAACAGACACTGCTTCATACCAGCTCCTTYGGCCCGTCCAACAATTTTGTATTCAATTCTTTTTCTGTTTAAAAATATCTAAATTCTTTTTTCTAGAGTAGTTTATTTTTTCCACTAAACTCTGACAAAGCCATCAAAAATATGATTCAGGGATACTACTTTCTATCTTTTTGTTGTGCTCTGGATATTTGAGGTTGCAAGACAAGTTACGTTTTGTTATTATTAGTTGTGTGCAGGTGTATTTCTATTGGTGTCACAACAAATTACCACAAACTTAGCTTAAGCAACACAAATTTTTTTTATTTTATTTTGAGACAGGGTCTCTCAGGTATTCACAGCTCCCAAGAATACAGTAAGAACATTTTAGTAGGGGCGAGGGAACATTATCTGTTTACCTGATTTTCACATTTTAAAAATTCTGACTCAGAAGTAATTTGACATCAAAACTTTAATGTCAGTTTATTGCTGCATTCAAAAATGGCTATTTTTTCAAAGTACTTTAAATGTCTCATAACTATTAATTATTACTATTAATAATTATATCCATGATCTAAATGCATAAAATGAAATACAGATGCTGTTTGACACTAAAGCCCCAGGACACAAAAGTCAACAGACTAAGTTTCTGCCACTCTTTGTAGCACTGAGACATAACTGAATAATAACAACTTATATTTGAATAGCACTTATGGTTTTACAAGTGCTCTTGAATTCATTATCTCATTTGTACTTTTACAACATCCCTAGAGGCACACAAAACTGAGTTACATTTTTTTAGTTGTAGACAGACACAATACCTTCATTTATTTATTTTATGTGGTGCTGAGGATCAAACCCAGTGCCTCATATGTGCCAGGCAAGCACTCTATCCCTGAGCCACAACCCCAGCCCTAAGTTATTTATTACCTTTTTTACAGACTAGAAAACTAACTTCAGAAAGACTAAATCACCTACCCAAGTACAATAAGCATTTTCAGACAAAAATGACAGGTAAGCAAGCAGTATGCAGGAAGTAAACTGATAAATGGATTTTACTTATAAAATGGGGTCACAATCTTCACAGGAAAAAAAATTTGACACTTAGAATAGTTTTAGGAATGATACAAAAACAATAAATAGTATTTGCTGATTTGACCTAGAAAAGTATAAAAGAGTAAGGGTTCCCTTTGAAGAGAACCAGAATTAAGCACTTGTTCTACAGGGTTTTCCACATTATAAAGCTTTTTCCTCTAAGATATTCAAAAAACACCTATACATACAAATACAGGAAACTCTAAAGGCATTCTGCCTGTCAGATCTTCCTCCTTTTAGTAGGTAGCAATAAGGAATAGGAGAGTATAAGGACAGCTATACAAATACATGCAAAAAAGAAATAAATTTAAACAAACTGAAAATATGCAGAGCCAATACCTACAGCTATCATACTTATAATCATCATAAACAAAAACATGACCACCCTTTTGGATTGCATTCTGATTTATCAAAGATACTGCAAGTTTTATAATCAATGATTTTATGAGTTCTCCAATCCTGCCCCTCCCAAGGCTGTCACATGAAATGAGAAAATGACTATTAATCTGCATCTATCTGAACCTCTTCCTTCTTTACCTTGCAGCTCCTGTCAGGGAGACAGGATGGTCAATCAGGTATTTGAATTTATTCCTTCGAATAGGGTGCTGCCAGACATGGTCTACAGGGCGTGGAAGAGTACCCTGGGAAAAAGAAAAACACATGGATATCCAGCAGAGGGCACTCTAGTCAAGCAAAAAATCTATTCTTAGTAATTGAATATTTATATTTTGATACCCTGTGGAATAGAGCAGAATTCTTATTCAGTAGCATGGGCAAAGACTGAAAATAGAATATTTCTACAAATATTAAAACTAAGTAATGGTAATTTTGGTAAGTTAACATGAAAACAGATTAATAGAAATATTCAAGCCTTGGAAATTTGGGTGAAAACATGAGTTTTCAATGTAGAAAATTACTTTAAAAAAAGTTAAGACCACTTGGAATATATAACCTGTGCTCAACTAACACTTAATAAACAGGATACCAAAGAGATAATATCCCCAAGTAGTCTACATGCAAACTTACACACCTTTGGAGTTTTAGTTTTCTTAGGAGGCAGTAAATATTCAGGACAGGGACCGGCATTGGCTGCATAGGTTAGAGAAAGCAGAATCTCCTCGGGGATGAACTCATTCTGAAGGGAAGTAGGAAGGGGTTTGGAATGACCCACCATACTTTTTTGCTCCCTTAGTTCAGGAAGTCCTAAGAATGAAAAAGGAAAGAAAAGCTCTTATTCTAAGTTTTTGGATGGGGCTTCCCACACTGCCTCATAATTCTCATCTGTATTTTCCTAATAGAGAGAAACATTGCTTCTGATTGAAAAGGATAGTAACAAATAATATTTAAAACACCAAAGATTATCTGGTCAAAAGAAATGTATTACCTACCCTACTCACATCAAACAACAGGTTCAAAACCTCACATACAAAGCTGAACCTGAATAGTCCAAGCTGAAAATTAACTCACTTCACTTAACTGGGAGAGCTTTAAGATGATGGGAATCAACTATTTTCCCTTTGATATGCAAATAAAACAAGAAATCTTTCTTCAATCTGTCAGATTATTTATAATTTCTCTCAAGTAAATTCAAAGGTAAAACAACTGTATTAAATTGAGGATGAGGGCTGGGGTTGTAGCTCAGTGATAGTGTTTGCCTCTCACATGTGAGATACTGGATTAGATCCTCAGCACCAAGTAAACATAAATAAATAAAGGATCGTGTCCATCTACAATTAAAAAATATTTTTAAAATTGAGGATGGAAGGGATCTGAGTGGAGTTTAAAAGTAAAAGTAGGGGTTGGGGAAACAGTTCCATGTAGAGTACTTACCTAGCATGTATAAGTCTTTGGATTGATCTCTGGCACACACACACAAAGTAAAAGCAGAACTAGGATTGTTGGAAATGAAAAGTGGAATAATCTCAGCAAGCTGATAGAATAAGAACTGTGAAGAGTATTCTCCTCAGCTTGATTAGCACACAGAAGTAAAAAACATGGGTAGTAGGGCTAATTCAGGAAAAAGGCTTCCAGGAAATCAGTCAAGTAGTTTGGTAGTCACTGTTCATAACTTTTAGTAAAGAAGTACTATGTTTTCATCACCATCAAAACTTTTTTAAGATTTATACTACCAAGTCTCTCTCAAGGGTTTGGTATAGAATATCAGAAGAAATAGGGGGGAAACAAAAAGGTTAGGTGGGACTTCAGCAGAATCTCTCCCAACAACTCCTGAAAGTGAGACTGGAGAAAGTGTTACCCTAATAGGGTGAGGATGCTTTTAGCAATTTTTTTTTATCTTTTTTTTTTTTTGTAGTTGTAGATGGACAGCATGAATTTATTTTATTTATTTTTATGTGGTGCTGAGGATTGAACCCAGTGCCTCAGGCATGCTCCTAAAGTATCTATCACTGAGCTATAGCCCCAGCCCAGCAATTTTTATTCTAGTGTAGATCTGCATTCATCTAAGAATGAAAAGCTCACAGAATCGCTCTCATTTAGAAAAATATTAAAACTTGATACAAATACATAATTTGTATGATTTGCATGTGTCTGTCTTATCTCCACTATTCTTTTTAAGTGCCTTAATGTCAGAGAGCAACTACCAAAAAAGATGCCATTGTATTTAAAACAGGAGGGTGAATTTTTAAAACAATATAAAACTCATCAGCATTTGGAAAAAGTATAAACATAGCCTTTAGGTGGAGTAATTAAACAGGGCTGGTTCTAAACTACTATAAAAGAAAATGGCTTTTGGTTTTACTTGAACGAGTGTCAGAAAAACAGCTCTAGTGCCCACTGAGGATCATTTGATCATTTGATCATCAGAGACCAGCTTTGATAACACAGGGAGACCCTGGGCTCAGAGGAAGGGAGGGGAAAAGGGTAGGGGAAAACGTCTGATGAAAAATGGCGAATGGAAGGTGATTTCTGTCAATGATCGCGATTATGTTGGCGGGATCCTTCAAGTTTACCTCCGGTCTCCTCCTTGACTACAGAGACTCTTGACTTTTTGGCCTCAGATGATAAGGAGTTCAGAGATGCGGACGGTGTTTTCTGAAGAGACATAGTTTTTTWAAAAAAGGGGAGAGGGCGCGCGCGAGCGAGCCTCCTATCGTTCTTTAGTAATTTGAAATATTCCTCAAATTAATTTAAAAGTAAATCGGCCGTCGTACCAGGACTTTCAGGCTGTCACATTGTCCTGTAGGCAAAAGAAACGAACAACAACAACAAAAAAAAAAAGAGAGATCTATTACGTGCTTGTGTTCATTTCGGAGTTGGAATCCACCTGGCAGTGTTCCCCTTCTTGGGGGGGGGGGGGGACCCCGAGGTTCTCTAGGGTCCTCTAACGTGACTGAGAAGCCAGCGAGTGTGGGAGGGTCGGGGAAGGACACGCTAGCCCCACCACAGCCGGCCCGCCCGCCCGCAGCCCTGTGGGCGCCGCCCGCTCGTGTCCCCAGCTTCCCCAAAACAGTGCCCCTCGCGCAGGACAGCGCCACGGTCTCGAATGTCAGGCACGGCTCGCAGCGTTTCTCCACTAAAAACCACAGGAAAGGACACCTGTGAGCTGTACCGGCAAATTGGGTTTCCCGCCAGGCCTTCGGCCACCCGGTCCTCCCCTGGAACGCCTGCGCATCGTCATGGAAACCCAGGACCCCGCTCCTTAGCAACCCTCAATCGGGACTGCCTTCGGAGGTGCCGGCGGAGGAGGAAACAGCCGGAAAACCGTCCCTTATACTCTCCCGGAGCTTCAGTGCAAGTCACAGCATAGATTCACTAACAATTAAGAACAAAAGTGTTTAATCGAGCTGTTGTCACGGAATCCGACAGCGTCTCTGCACCGGCCTAACGTCCGCGGACCGGGCTAGTGCGCAGGCGTCAGTCGGGCGGGCGCTCGCTCCCAAACGACCTCCTTGGGCCGCGCCGGAAACGAGCCAGGGTGGTTTCCGGCGCTGTCTCCATTCTGTCTTGTTTTGCATATTTTTTTTAAAAAGCTAAGCTCGGGAAAATTGGATAGCCGGAAACTCTAGGTTCCTATCCGTCGGGGTTTTCTTGCTAAAGCTGTCTGGCCCCTGGCATTTGTAACCCCGTCTTCTGTGGACGCGTGGCCTTTCCCAGAGCACGCGCAAGGCTTTCCTGTGTCCATTTTCCTTTTTTCTTTTGTGAAGACAAAGGAGTGCTGCACTTTATAAGGAGCCAACCCAGGTAAAATAGTTTTAAAAACCCAACTTTTGCCGGGCTTCGTGGCGCACACCTGTAAACCCAGCCACTCCGGAGGTTGAGGCAGAAGGATCGCAAGTTCGATGCCAGCCTCAGCAAGTTAGCGAGGCTCTAAGCAATTTATTATAGAGTTCCCGTCTCAAATGTAAAAAGGGCTGGGGATGTGGTTAAGCACTCCTGGGTTCAATCCCCAGTACAAACAAAACTAAACACAAGTTTTCTCGCTTAAAAACCTGCTCTCAGGACAGACTCTTCTCGGCTCCTACCTACCTACCAACCAGGGGCCATTTGTATTAAAGCGGGGATTCAGTGATGAATAATGAATGCGCGTGGAGACAAGGTCTAGATAACTTTGAGAAGGAAAGAAAACTTTATTGTATTCAGTCGTCATATTCCTTACAGTGCCTGCACAATGCCTTCAGTGTGCGCTTTGATAACACAAAACAGTTATCCAACCGATTAATAAAATTAAGGCTCTGGTTTCCAGAGTAACAGAAATATGGGCAGAGGATTCAAAACCAGAAACATAGTCACTTTTAACTCTTCTAGTCTGACATCTTGGTTGTCTGCGCATTTTAGCCTGCAGCYGTATCTCCCCTATCCCCCTAATTTTTCTTTTTCAAATAATTAAAATACACAAAAACAGCATCATAGAACATGTATAGTTCATGTTAAGGATTGGCAACCATCAAAACAAGTGACAGGTTAGAAGCCAGGCAAGCACAAGTAGGCAAGGGTAATTCCCCCCAAAGCTTGCCTCTTTTATCTTCACTGTGTCACTTAGTTTGGAGCCATAGCCACCATAGTAGGGAAATCAGAGGTCCCAAAGAAGTGTCATCTACTATATGGCTAATCAAGTCTTTAGGTACTAGAAGGAAGTAATCCATCATTTATGTTTTTTTTTTTTAATTGGAAGACAAAGGGTTTCTCCACCTACAACACTTTTTTTAAAGAGAGAATTTTAATATTTATTTTTTAGTTTTTGGCGGACACAAAACTTTGTATGTGGTGCTGAGGATCAAACCCGGGCCGCACGCGTGCCAGGCGAGGGCTATTGCTTGAGCCACATCCCCAGCCCCATCATTTATGTTCTTAACCCAGTTTGAAAAAATTTTAGTAGTACTGATAGTGGAACAAATAAATGAACACGTTCAAAAAATACATAGAAAGTAAAATCTGTGGGATCTGGAAAATGATTGGATCTGTAGTGTGAAGAAAATGACATCAAAGGCTGTTCAGTTATTTGTCTTCTCTTTTGGCTATAGACAATAGTTGCCTAAGATTAGGATGAAAAGCACTTATGTATTCAATATTAACTATTTTGTATATCATAAGAAGTTACTTTTAAAACAGACTAGATTTTTTCCAAATATATTTATTTACCACATTCTTCACATATGCAGTATTTTTCCATCTTGTGTGCAGATATATATTTTAAAGTTTAAAACATGAGATTAATGTTAATACAATGCATACTAAAAGTTATCACACAATGATTAGACAAACAAGGACTTGCAAGGAGAGGAAGGAAGAATAATTCAGGAAAAGAGCAAACAAGAATTAGAAAAAATGTCTTTAATTATAGAAAATCCTTTTAAAAACAACTTTGGGTTTCTGTGACCTTCTGCTTATCTCAGAACACTACGGATGAGTGCCTAAAATGGAGAGGTTCAGAGAGAACGCAGCTGCACTGGCCCAAATGAGAGAAGCTTAACCCCGGGCTCATTTCCATCCAAGAATTGGCACACTGGCACAAGAAAATTCAAATTATATTTCTGAATAACTAGATGCATGAACTGCCCGCTTCAACAGGTTTTAAAAACAAAGTACAGCTACCACTTCATCAAGACAAAATTCCACTAGCTTGAAGGTCAGCACTCCATTGGAAAAGGCAGAAATGTCAACGTAATAATGTAAAAATAAGGATCAACATTTAGGAAAAAGGAAGACATAAAAAAAATAAAATAAAAAAAGGAAGACAGGCAGTATTAGATTAAAAAAAAAAAAAACGATCCCTTCCAATATTAATCCATTCTTTTTCTCAAGTCCAAATTCCCTGTTAATTTCTTGCTGGGTGCAGTAGTGCATACCTGTAGTCCCAGCTACGGAGGAAACTAAGGCAGGAAGATGGCTTGAGACCAGGAGTTCAAGTCACCTAGGTAACAGAGCAAGACCCCATCTCAAAATTAGAAGGAAAAAAAAAAACTATATAAGCATTCTTTGCATTTAGATAGATTTATGTAGATTATACAGCTTTCCTACTAAAGTTTAGTAACTATTATTTTTATTGTCTACTGATTTTCAAGTAGGCATTAAATTTAAGTTGGCGAAGGGCTGTACTCTCCTTGCTTCAGCCAGACTAGTTGTAGTTTATCATCTCTGTAAACTGGGCATATCTGTAATATTTTTTTAAAATTTTTAATATTTATTTTTTAGTTTTCAGCGGACACAACATCTTTGTATGTGGTGCTGAGGATCGAACCCGGGCCACACGCATGCCAGGCGAGCGTGCTACCGCTTGAGCCACATCCCCAGCCCCTGTAATATTTTATTTCAACAAAGGTTTTCAACACTCAGCTGATAGTGATGTTAAAAATGAATCAAATTGCTATAAAAACTTCACTAATGGCATTCACTGTATTCCTCAAAATGTTTATGTCCCAGTCTTTAATTTTAGCTAAAAGCCTAGAGATAAGATATGTGAAACAATGCTGAAGACACATCTTAGCTTGTGTGTGTAGTATTAAATAAACTACATTAAATTTTGCACAAGATTGTTAAACTTCATTAACAAAAAGTGTGAGCTGTCTTCCATTAAGAAATTTTTTCTGCCTTCCAAGACTATAAGCTTTCTTTGCACTGGTAGAAATGAGTTCTCATTAATGTTTCCTTCCCCTCCATAAATTCTAAAACTTAGCTATAAAATAGACATACTAGTTCTAAACTTTTTAAGTAATAGCAGCAATACTTCCTTTTAGAAGCTTGCTACCTTATAATGCTAAAGCAGATAAACCTGATAACAACATTGGAAAGATGGAAATAAGAGCAAGTGCCTGTAACAATCATGTTTAAAATGACCAGGTTAATTCCGTCATGGGAAAATCTATCAAAGTGCAGCACCAATTCGCATCATCCTGAGGGTCTATTTTAAAAGACAAATACAAGTGCAGCATTTGAAAAACCCACCCCTACCCCCGCCCCAGATACTGGGGTTGAACTCAGGGAGCTTTACCACTGAGCTACAGCCCCCGTCCTTTTTATTTTGAGACAGAGTCTCACTAAGTTGTTGAGGGTCTTCTTAAAGTTAATCTTGAACTTGTGATCCTCCTGTTTCAACCTCCTGAGTCCCTTGGGTTACAGTGTTCAGCACTGTCCCTGGCAAGAAAGAGGCACATTCTTAAGACACCAGTAGGGACCTGGGTTTCAAATTTAGGGAAGGAAAATAATGAGACCATATGTCTACCAGGGATAATGCTTTGCAACAATTCTGTGAGGTAGTTGTTATCCCCATTTTACAGATGAGGAAAATTCTGGCTCTGATAAATTAAGCAATTTTGCCCCAACTCATGTTGCTAATAAATACTGGGCTATCTTAATCAAAAGCCAATTCAAAAATCACACTACTGGTTTCAAACTGAGTATGCTGGGGTAGGAGAGAATGAGTGCACCAAGCAAGAAGAGGTCCAGACCCACTATCCCTTTTTCAACCTGAAGGAGCCCTAGTCTATTGGTTTTATCTACTGGGTTTAAGAGTAACATTCCAAAACTGAAACAAAAGTGTACTGTATCAGGCCACCTCATTACTAGTTATGTTAGTTTCTGTGATAATGTCACCCCCACACAACAAA